GTTGGAGCTCGGCCAGAGCCTCATTGGGATTTGGGGGTGGCAGGTCATCTGGAAGCTGTTGGGCACCCTGCATCCCCGTAGGTGGAACCGTCTCTAGAAGAGAAACATGAGACAACGGATTTAAAAATCTGCTTCTTACTAGCCCGTCAGTGACTCAGCCCCGGGGGCAACCACATTTTTGTCCATTTTTGACCAAAGGACAACACCTCATTCGGAAACAGAGTAGAACATGCGGTGCCATTTTGCCACTGCTGCCAGTGCACATTGCATGGGAAGATCTGCCTGGGCCGATGCACACTGAGCATTGCAATTCTGATTTTGCATTTCCTTGGATGTTGCGTTGTGCATAGTTGCAATTTATTAATGCACAGTTGTCTTGTGACTCTGTCTCCTTAATTCACAACCTGGAGCATTTGGGAATGCCCCAAGTGTAGAGAATAGTACGCAATGGTGGGAAAACGATTCTCAGGCAAGCAAAGCATCATCTCAAGGTCTGAGTGATCAACAAGCGATGATTGATATGGTGGATGATAAAAGCTGGCATCTTACTAGTGACTTAGATTTGTTTACGTTCTTTTACTCTGGTGATTGTACATTTCATCTCATTCAGAAACTGAGTTGGCACCCAGTGCCATTTTGCCAGTCGTGCTATTCTGCATGGCATGGGCAGGTGTGCATTGCATATTGCATTGCACGTTGGACATCGTAATCTTGCATTTCTTCAGACGTTCTGTTGTTGCAATTCGTAAATGCACAGTCGTCACATAACTTGGCTTTTTTCATTCACGGCCAGGACCTGAAATCCATCCCTGTGTCCTTTTGGTCCTTTCTGTTTAGATCCCATTCCTACCAACTTCTTTTTACTTCTCAATGCAAGGCGTGTCGTCCCCTGCAATCTTTCCGGCTGCGCGTCCCATTGCTGTCGTGTCAGCTTTTTGCCGGCAATGCATTCCGCAGCAATGTCGTCCTGAGATGTCGGTGCACCGGAGCTTCAGATGGGGGCAAGCTCTGTCGCATTGCAGAGCCCACACCAGAACCGTCCTGCCATTTTGGCAACCCAGCTGGGCGTCCTTCCACCGGCAAAGGAGAATGGACCACCTCTCTTCCCTTTCAGTTGGCTTGGAGGGTTGGCTTTTTCAGTAACAACAAAACTGCACATTTGTGCCTGCCTCTCTCCATGGATTGCCTCCCCAAATCTCAGATCAGTGTTAGGTATCCAATAACCCTGTGTGTCTCAACCTTCCTAATGCCGCGATCCCTTAATACAGTTCCTTATGTTGTGGTGACCCCCAACTATGACATTATTTTCGTTGCTGTTCCATAACTGTAATTTTGTTACTGTTATGAATTGTCATATAAATATCTGATATGCAGGATGTATCTTCATGTACTGGACCAAATTTGGCACAAATACCCAATGCGCCCACAATTAAATACTGGTGCGGTTGGGGGAAACGTGATTGATTTTGTCATTTAGGAGTTGTAGTTGCTGGGATTTTCCATCTGAACATTAGGAAGAACTTCCTGACTCTGAGAGCTGTTTAGCAGTGGAACTCTCTGCCCCAGAGTGTGGTGGAGGCTCCTTCTTTGGAGGCTTTTAAACAGAGGCTGGATGACCATCTGTCAGGGATGCTTTGAATGCAATTTTCCTGCTTCTTGGTAGAATGGGGTTGGAGTGGATGGCCCATGAAGTCTCTTCCAACTCTAGCATTCTATGATTTGTTGCTAACCTACATTCAAAAAGCATTCTGAATGCCACTGATGATGGAATTGAACCAAACTTGGCACACAGAACGCACATGGCCAATAGAAAATACTGGAAGTGTTTAGTGGGCATTGGCCTTGAGTTTTGGAGTTGTAGTTCACTTACATCCAGAGAGCACTGTGGACTCAAATAATGATAAATCTGGACTAAACTTGGCACCGATACTCAATTTGTCCAAATGTAAACACTGGTGGTGTTTGGGGAAAATAGGCCTTGACATTTGGGAGTTGTAGTTGCGGGGATGTATAGTTCACCTACAACCAAAGAGCATTCTGAACCCCATCAACAATAGAATTGGGCCAAACTTCCCACACAGAAACCCCATGATGAACAGAAAATACTGTGTTTTCTGATGGTCTTTGGTGACCCCTCTGACAACCCCTCTTGCAACACCTCCTCAGGTTGAGAAATGCTGCACTAACCCATGAGGCAAGGCTGGAGAGTGCACAGTAATCTGGACCTCTTTTCCAAGGTTCAGCACACCCCATCTCTTCTGAATTTCCAGAAAGACGATGGTATTTTGCTTAGAAAGTAGCTCTTAACATTAGGAACATCTGGTCTGGTTAGTTTACAAGAACTCTCTTTAAAATGAGACTTAAAGGAAAGGATGTGGTTTGATAGCACTCTTATCTGTCATGGTGCAATGCTATGAAAATGTGGGACTTACAGTGGTGCAAGGTCTTTATCTTTCATTTCCCTAGTTGGGAAGAATTGAGAGGATTCGGCTTCCAACTCCCACCAGTCCAAAACACTTGGAGGGCCCAAGTTTGCCCATGCCTGATGTACACAGTAGAATGAATGGACTTTCATACTACTTTAATTACCATAACATCATGGAAACTATCCTTTTGCAAGGCGTTTTTCCTTCTGTGCCTTGCTAAACTACTACAATACCCAGCAGATAAAGTGGTGTCAATCTGCAATCATTCTACCGTTTGCATGCAGCCTTATTTTGGGTCTTGGTTATTTATTTAAGAGTTGTAAGTGGTTTATTTCCTCCCAAATTGTTATGCATCCTCTCCAAATCCCTGGTGGATCATGACATGCTAAAGAAACCTACGAAAGCAGGGGAAATCCTGCAAACTGTCATACTTTTTGCTGCAGCAGCTTCCCGGCCATGTTCCTCCTTTATTTCCCGCATCTCGGAGGAGGAACCACACTTTCTAGCCTGCTGAGAGGCTGCCGATAATGCCGCCTTGCCCCCCAATGCTGCTGTGTTTCCTAGAAGCATTTCTCTCCCTTGGCAGGAAATTGGATTACGCCTTGAGCTGGGAACAGGAGGGCTTAACATAGACTTCTGGTAGCCTATTAGCCAAGAGGAGGAGGAGGAGGAGGAAGGGGTGGCAAAGCTTCCAGAATCAATGACTCGCTCATCTGAGCGGATGGAGGACTTCTAGCCTTGGTCCTCCAACTGCCTCTTGGGTTGCAAATGAAGCTCTGTGGCTGATCATCCATAATAATTATAGCTGTGAAGGAAGGAGGCTGCCTGCCATATACTTAGGCGATCTTTCATTGTCCGAGTAAGATCATCCTCCATGTGCGGTGTCCTGGCAGTGGGTCCATAGGTGATTGTGGAGCCCTATTCTTGATCCGCGTGTTCTCCCTTAGTGAGGGCATCGCTTTCCAGGTGGAAGGCCGTCCCAGTAGGGTTGGCTTGACGCACCTTCCTCTTGGCACATTTCTCTCTTTCGCCCTCCATTTGTGCCTCTTCAAATTCTACAGCACTGCTGGTCACAGCTGGCCTCCAGCTAGAGTGCTCAAGGGCAAGGGCTTCCCAGTTCTCGATGTCTATGCCACAATTTTTGAGGTCGGCTTTGAGCCTATCTTTAAATTTATGTCCTCCAACATTCAGTTTTCCATTCTTGCGTTCAGAGTAGAGCAACTGCTTTGGGAGACAGTGGTCGGGTATCCGGAAAACGTGGCCGGTCCAACGGAGTTTATGGCAAAGGAGCATCAATTTGATGCTAGTGGTCTTTGCTTCTTCCAGCATGTTGACATTTGTCTGTCTGTCTTCCCAAGAGGATTTTTTTAGAGGCAACACTGATGGAATCGGTCCATGTGACGTCTGTGGATAGTCCACGTTTCGTAGGCATATAGCAGGGTTGGGAGGACAATAACTTTATAAACAAGCACCTTGGTATCCCTATGTATTATGATGATGGTGGTGATGATAATGATGATAGTGTATTTATAACCCACCCTGTCCCCTTGAGGGGACTCAGGGCAGTTTCCAACAAAATAAACACAATGGCAAACATTCAGTGCCATGCCAAAACCATGGAGTCCCACCTACTTCTCAGTACAAGGTCTCCAGGTGAAACATCCCCAGCAGGGAGCTGTCTGAATGCTTTTTGGAGACATCCAGAGGGGGAGGCCTCTCTAGAGGACCATCGCTTCAATGATGGTGGTCTTTGCTTCTTCCAGCATGCTGACATTTGTCCACCTGTCTGCCATACAGTTTCTTGGCATATTCATAGAGTCCTAAGGGTGGAAGGGACCTCCAAAGGCCATCCAGTCTGACCCTTCCATTGATCGTGACACTATTGATGCAACCTAGAATTGCATTGGGTTTTTTTTTGCTGTTGCATCACACTCCTGACTTGTGCTCAAGTGGGGTCAAACAGCATTCATTCTACAATGTAGAATGCCTCCATAAACTGGAAAAGCAAAGAATTGGATACAGGGATTCTCTGCTCAAAGTGTGTCTGTCTGGAAAGCTTAAACCCTGTTGCACTGGTAGTAATTATTTGATATAAAGTGGCGAGACTGGCGGGTGATAGAAATGCCTTGAATGAATAATACAAAACAAAGCCACCAATTAACCATAGTAATTTTGGATAGTTTCATGGTGCAAGCCTGCCCCCTAGTGGTTAGAAAGGCGATGGCACCATAACATGAGCATCCTCAAGAGCCGATGAGAGACAGTGCGTTGAGTGTTGGAGCTCCGTTACCTTCCTGCAGAAGCAGTACTTATTGATCTACTCACATTTGCATGTTTTCTATCCATGCCTAATATGTATATAAAGAATCTAAACCAATTCAACATAGTGTGTGGCACTAAAATGAAGTTTCTGGAGTGGACTTTCAAAGGAAGGACCGACCATACAACTAAGCAGGAAATAACATTTCCAAGCCAGGAACAGAACATTTTTCAAAGTGTGTTACATAGTGTATTTTGTGTCTGTTTCCGTGCTCCTTCCTGATTTAATGCCTCCCTCCTCTTCCCTCTGCCCAGGTCTGAAAGGAACCCTTGGACTGTGAATCGAAGCGCAAGGTGCGTCCCTGTTAATTTCACGCCCGGCTTCTCTCTAAAGTGCAGCAAATGGGATATTTCATTAGGAAATGGAGTGCGGGAGACAGGAAACATGACATGTTCATCCCCTGATGGGGACGGAGTGGGCCGACTGTAACGGAAGCTGACATTGAGCCATTGGGGGGGGGGGGGGGGGCAAGCAACTCTTTACCGGGCCATTCATGGGGTCTTCCCTGGACTGTCATTATTTTGCATTTGAAATGAATTACATTTTTGCACTTGAACAAACTTGTTTTAATAACTGTGTTGCAGCCACTTAGTTGATCCATTCCTCAGCTTTTGCACAGATCACATCTTCTCCATTCACCTCCATTCATTATCTATTTTGAGCATGAGTTGACCAGTGTACCATTGTATGACAAATTGCAATCAGTCTTTCATATTCATAGGTTCTGTATCCAGAGATTCCACTATCCACAACTTGAAGATATATATTTCAAAATCCTTGATTTTTCCATTTTATATATGGGGCACTAGTAGATAATTATGCCATTTGATACAATGGGACTTGAGAATCTGTGGATACTGCTGTGCAGACAGTGCAGGAATAAAATCCCAGTCGATACCAAGGTCATAGAATCATAGAATCAAAGAGTTGGAAGAGACCTCATGGGCCATCCAGTCCAACCCCTTTCTGCCAAGAAGTAGGAATATTGCATTCAAATCACCCCTGACAGATGGCCATCCAGCTTCTGCTTCAAAGCTTCCAAAGAAGGAGCCTCCACCACACTCCAGGGCAGAGAGTTCCACTGCTGAACGGCTCTCACAGTCAGGAAGTTCTTCCTCATGTTCAGATGGAATCTCCTCTCTTGTAGTTTGAAGCCATTGCCATTGCGTCCTAGTCTCCAGGGAAGCAGAAAACAAGCTTGCTCCCTCCTCCCTCTGACTTCCTCTCACATATTTATACATGGCTATCATATCTCCTCTCAGCCTTCTCTTCTTCAGGCTAAACATGCCCATTTCCTTAAGACGCTCCTCATAGGGCTTGTTCTCCAGACCATTGGTCATTTTAGTCGCTCTCCTCTGGACACATTCCAGCTTGTCACTATCTCTCTTGAATTGTGGTGCCCAGAATTGGACACAATATTCCAGGTGTGGTCTAACCAAAGCGGAATAGAGCATGGGGAGCATGACTTCCCTGGACCTAGACACTATGCTCCTATTGATGCAGGCCAAAATCCCATTGGCTTTTTTTGCCGCCACATCACATTGTTGGCTCATGTTTAACTTGTTGTCCACGAGTTAAACGAGGTCCCACTAGTTTAATTCTATTTCACGGGGAGCGGCGTGAGCTTCCGCTGTCAGCCCTAGCCTCTCCCAACCTAGCAGTTTGAAAACATGCAAATGTGAGTAGATCAATAGATGCAGTCATGCCGGCCACATGACCTTGTAGGTGTCTACGGACAACGCTGGCTCTTCGGGTTAGAAATGGAGATGAGCACCACACCCCAGAGTCAGACATGACTGGACTTAATGTCAGGGGACTACTTTACCTTTTTATGTATTTTCTGTGTTTTTTTTTTAAGTATTATAATGCTTTTTTAATTGTGAGTTGCTTTGGGTCCCAGTCGAGAGGCAAAGGATGCATCTTATGCTGTAGAATGAATGCAGTTCTGACACCACTTTTGAGCAGCTTCTAGAACAGGCAAACTTTGGCCCTCCAGGTATTTTGGACTTCAACTCCCACAATTCCCAACAGCCTACAAGCTGTTAGGAATTGTGGGAGTTGAAGTCCTAAACACTTGGAGGGAGGGCCCAAGTTTGCCCATGACTAGTTGATGGTCTTCCAGATGCAATCCCAAGTCTTCCTATTTTGGTTTTAAGTGATGGAAGTTGCAGCCCAACTACAGTTGTGTGGGATTGCCTCACTTCCAGGTCTTGGAGATGCCTCCTTGGTTGTCTCTTGTGCTCTCTACTGCTATGGAGTCTCCTTGAGGTTCACGGCTTCTTCTTCTGCCCTTCCAGACAGACCCAGGATGGCGTCTCCGGCCGACAGCTGCATCCAGTTCACCCGACACGCCAGCGACGTCCTCCTCAACCTCAACCGCCTTCGGAGCAGAGACATCCTGACGGACGTTGTCATCATCGTCAACCGGGAGCAGTTCCGGGCCCATAAAACCGTATTGATGGCCTGCAGGTGAGGGCTGCGGAGCAAACAAATGCAACATGGCTGTGTGGCAGCTTAAAACAATAGCATCCTAGGGTTGGGCTCAATCCAAGCCCTCCTGATAGATGGTCATCCAGCCTCTTGTTTCAAACCCTCTCAATCTCTGAGGATGCCTGCCATAGATGTGGGTGAAACATCAGGAGAGAATGCTTCTGTAACATGGCCAGACAGCCTGGAAAATTCACAGCATCCCAGTAATTCCAGCCATGAAAACCTTCAACAACATATTCAGAGGTTGTCTGTTTTTTTGGTCGTGTCAGGAGAGACTTGAGAATCTGCAAGTCACTTCTGGTGTGAGAGAATTTGCCATCTGCAAGGACGTTGCCCAGGGGACACATGGATGATTTGATGTTTTATCATCCTTGTGGGAGGCTTCTCTCATGTCCCCGCATGAGGAGCTGGAGCTGGTAGAGGGAGCTCATCCACCTCTCCCCGGATTCGAACCTGCGACCTGTCGGTCTTCAGTCCTGCTGGCACAGGGGTTTAACCCACTGTGCCACTGGGGGCTCCAGGTTGTCTGTTGTTATGTGGATATTCTGGACCAGCTTACCTATCTGAACGTATCTCTCCTTGTGAACCATCTAGGACACTAAGATCATCTGGAGAGGCCCTGCTCTCGGTCCCGCCTTCCTCACAGACGCGTTTGGCGGGGACGAGAGACAGGGCCTTCTCAGTGGTGGCCCCTCAAACTGTGGAACGCCCTTCCCAGGGATATAAGAGTGGCCTCCTCCCTCCTGTCTTTCCGAAGAAAGGTTAAAACCTGGCTTTTTGAGCAGGCGTTTGCTAATCCAGCATAATTATACTAAATCATGGAACGACCTGACGATGCAATTGAATAACGATTTTAACAAGGAGGCGCTCACGTTAATGTTTTTCTTGCTTTGTACGGTTTTTATACTTTATATTTTATATGAAGGTTTTAAACAGTATTTTATGATTGTTTATTTGTTGAGGCATCAAATGTTGCCAACTGTGAACCGCCCTGAGTCGCCTTCGGGCTGAGAAGTGCGGTATACAAATATGGTAAATAAATAAGTAAACATTCCAGAGATTCCACCTGAACTTTAGGAAGAACTTCCTGACAATACGAGTTGTTCAACAGTGGAACTCTCTGCCTTGGAGTTTGGTGGAAGTTCCTTCCTTAGAAGCTTTTAAACAGAAGCTGGATGGCCATCTGTCGGGGGTGCTTTGATGGTGCTTTTCCTGCATGGCAGGGGGTTGGACTAGCAGGCCTATGTGTTCTCTTCCAACTCTCTGAATGTCTTTCCGCCTTGTTTTCCTTCCAGCGGCCTTTTCTACAGCATTTTCACAGATCAGTTGAAGTGCAATTTGAACGTCATCAACCTGGATCCCGAGATCAACCCGGAAGGCTTTGGCATCCTCTTGGACTTCATGTACACCTCCCGCCTCAACCTGCGGGAAGGCAACATCATGGCCGTCATGACCACCGCCCTTTACCTGCAGATGGAGCATGTGGTGGACACCTGCCGAAGGCTGGTCAACTCAAGGTGAGTAGCTCTTGATCGGTCCACCTTGGAGGAGAACTTGAATGGGACATTTCTGTTCCTCATGTATTTCTAATGCATTTCATTCTGAAGGCACCAGCGCCCCCCCCCCCCCCCCCCCCCGATCTTGGATGCTAAGCAAGGTCAGCCCTGGTTAGTACTTGGATGGGAGACCGTAGGCTGTAGTTTGGAAGAAGGAACTGACAAAACCTTACTTAAGTAAACTTAGAACATCAAGAACATAGGAAAAGGTGCCTTTTGGGATTATCACTCCAGGTTTCTGGGAATGGCAGTCCAAAAAGAACAGGTTTCTCCAAGCCTAGAAAGACTGTCAATCAATCCAAGGTGTTGTAGGCTCTATTTCAGAGGAAGGATTTGGCAAAACCACCTCTGAGTCTTTCTTGCCTCTGAAAACCTAATGAAATCCATTGTGTTGCCGTAAATCAGTAGGTGACTTGAAGACACAAGTAGGTGACTTCATCCCCCAAACAGCTTTTCTCTATGATAACAAGACTTACAAGAGTGAATTTCCCTCCTTGGAGAGCAGATTTCCTTTTATTTCCTGTCATCTCACCTCTTAGACTCATAGACTCATAAAATTAGAAGAGACCTCACAGGCCATCCAGTCCAACCCCATTCTGCCAAGAAGCAGGAAAATTGCATTCAAAGCACCCCTGACAGATGGCCATCCAGCCTCTGTTAAAAAGCCTCCAAAGAAGGAGCCTCCACCATACTCCAGGGCAGAGAGTTCCACTGCTGAACAGCTCTCACAGTCAGGAAGTTCTTCCTCATGTTCAGGTGGAATCTCCTCTCTTGTAGTTTGAAGTCATTGTTCCATTGCGTCCTAGTCTCCAGGGCAGCAGAAAACAAGCTTGCTCCCTCCTCCCTATGACTTCCCCTCACATATTGATCCATGGCCCTCATCCTGTCTCCTCTCAGCCTTCTCTTCTTCAGGCTAAACATGCCCAGCTCTTTAAGCCGCTCCTCATAGGCCTTGTTCTCCACACCCTTGATCATTTGAGATGCCCTCCCTTAAACACATTCCAGCTTTGAGTCAACATCTCCCTTCAATTGTGGTGCCCAGAATTGGATACAGTATTACAGTAACCGCTCTGAGTCGCCTCTGGGCTGAGAGCGCCGGTATATAAATATAATTAATAAATAAATGTGACCTGACCAAGGCAGAATAGAGCATGGGTAGCATGACTTCCTCGGACCTTTCTTAACTATGATGTAAGTTGTAATACAAGGACTGCCTGGTACTCATTTTCCCTTTCTCTCCCTCCCTGCTTTGCCCTCTTCAGCGAAGCAGAGCTGGTCTCGGCTGTGAAGGCTCCACGGGAAGAATTCCTCACCAGCCGCATGCTGAGCCATCCGGAGATGATGGCATACAGGGCCCGGGAAATGTCCGAAAGCGGCCTGCCCCTCCGGAGCGGCCCCGTTTGTGATGGGCGGGCCTACATCCCCGGCTTGTACAACGGCCTTTCGGGGTCCCCAATCTCCTATACTGGATACAACCCGGTGCCCGTCGGCGGCTACCTGTTCTCGGACGAAGAGGCTAGGATGCCGCTGCCGGACATGTCCAGGGCCAACACTTTCCAGAGGGAGCGAGCGCTGCCTTGCGGCGTCTCCCGGACATGCTCCACCGATTATACCCGGACAACAGCCGATGCTTCTCCCAGTACGTGCCACAATGCCATCTACTCCCCAAAAGAAGCTGCTGCTGAAGAGGTCAAGAGCGACATGCGCTACAGCGCTGCCTCCGCCACCGGACCCAAACCCGCCACCCCTTTGACCCGGAACAACGGCTACTTTGCCTGCGACAAGGCAAGCAAAGAGGAGGAGCGGAGCCACACGGAGGATGACATGGGGCCGCGCTATGAGCCGAGCAACGCGCCCGTGAACCGCAAGGTCCTGATCAGCCCCCAGAGCCCCCAGAAGTCAGACTGCCAGCCCAACTCTCCGACCGAGTCCAGCAGCAGCAAGAACGCCTGCATTGGCCAAGGGGCCGGCTCCCTCGCCGCCAAGAGCCCCACGGACCCCAAGGCGTGCAACTGGAAGAAGTACAAGTTCATTGTCCTCAACTCGCTCAACCAGAGTGCCAAGCAAGACGGCCCCGAGCAGAACGAAGCTGGGACCCTCTCCCCGCAGTCCTACGCACCTGCCCTGACCTGCCAGCAGCCTATGGAGCCAGAGAACCTGGACCTGCAGTCCCCAACCAAGATGAACGTCAATGGAGAAGACTCCACAATCCCGCAAGCCAGCCGGCTGAACAACCTGGTGAACAGGTACGAGGAGGAATTAATGATGGCTCATGGGGGGATTTGGTGACCTGCTAACTTGAATCAGAAGTCAGGAAAAATATGTAGACTAGGCTAATGTCATCTTCTCAGACTGTCCCACCCTGTAGGTTTGTTGTGGAGTTGTGGAGTAGGGTTGTTGTTCATTTGTTGCATGTGGAATGCCACATGCATTGCCTTGAGACCAGTAGAGGAATGGCAAGCTGTCCGTGGATGCATCTACACCAGGGGTCCTCAAACTAAGGCCCGAGGGCCAAATGCGGCCCTCCAAGGTCATTTACCTGGCCCTCACTCAGGGTCAACCTAAGTCTGAAACTACTTGAAAGCACACAACAACAACAACAACAACAATCCTGTCTCATCAGCCAAAGGTGGGCCCACACTTCCCACTGAAATACTTGTTTGTTAAAATTGTTTCAATTTTAATTTCAATTGTTTTAAAGTGTTTTTTGCACTACAAATAAGATACGTGCAATGTGCATAGAAATTCATTCATGTTTTTTTTTTTCCAAATTATAATCTGGCCCTCCAACAATTTGGGGGACTGTGACCTGGCCCTCTGTTTTAAAAGTTTGAAGACCCCTGATCTACACTGTAGAATTAATTCAGTTTGACACAACTTTAACTCCCATGACTCGATGCCATGGAACCCTGGGAGCCATAGTTTCACAAGGTGCTGAAAATAGCATCTCATCAAACTAAAATTCTCAAAATTCCATGGCATTGAACCATGGCAGGTAAAGTGGTGTCCAACTGCATTAATTCTGTAGCTAATTGGACAGCAATTTTCATCACACCCAGCCAACATCATCAGTGGCAAAGTCATAGGAATGGGGATCCCACATTGTCTCAGAGAAATGTAAATACTAGGTTTGTTTGATTTAAAAAATGGTTCAAAACTCATTTCGGATGTAGTTCGATTTGGAAGTCAATTCAGATTTTCACAGAAAAAATTATTCAAAACTTTTTGAAACTTCCGAGACTTCTGAATCCTTCATTAATGGAAAGTGTAATTTCCCATTTCATTGGGTGGTCTTTACTTTGAAAGTAGTTGTTTTTGATTCCAGAAGTGGGGAAGGGGGGAAGCAAAGGGAGGAAATTCATCCAGACTGGTTTAAAACGCTTCCCAGGCTTGAGACCAGAAGCGAGGGGAAAGCTGAATCATTTCCGACTCACTTACTGCTTCGTAACAGAAATGGCAGAAAAAGCTTCGGAAGGGCAAAGGGACTTCTGGATTCCTTAAAAACTTCAAAATCGCTTCAAAAAGCAAATCTTTCCAAATTTATTCCGAACTACGAAGATTCAGACCAAACCTAACCATGCCTAGCAAATACGGCAGACTTAACCTATGCTGTTAGTACACAAACCCCTATTGTGACTGCCATCCTAGTGCAATGTATTGGAAGCAGTGAATGTGCATAGCTGTCCATTCACTGAACAATAAAGCAGTACTGAATTGCATTGATGCACGTGCATTATTGTGAATTTGCAACAATTCTACATACAAAAACTCAGCTTCTGGCATCATCAGCTGGAATATATGTGTGTGTGTGTGTGTGTATATGTATCTCGGGTACTTTTACCCCGCCCTTCTCAACCCCTGAGGGGGGACTCAGGGTGGCTTACAAAAAGGCACAATTCGATGCCTATACAAATTACACATGATGTACAAAACCATAATTAAAACAATTATCACAGTTATTATACACACACACACATATACATACACACACGAACACATATATAAAATCAGCTGGATAATATCTATTAAGGGGAGGCCCTGCTCTCGATCCCGCCTGCATCACAAACACATTTGGTGGGGACGAGAGACAGGGCCTTCTCAGTGGTGGCCCCTCGGCTATGGAACGCCCTTCCTGGGGACATTAGATCGGCCCCCTCCCTCTTAACATTTTGGAAGAGAGTCAAGACTTGGTTGTTTGAGCAAGCTTTTGAAAATGCAAGGTAAAAGACATAGGAATTGGAACAATTGGACAACATGATGGGACAATATTTTTATTAGGAGACACAAATGATGTATGCTTTTAGTATTCTTGTTATGTATTGTCGAAGGCTTTCATGGCCGGAATCACTGGGTTGTTATAGGTTTTTTCGGGCTATATGGTCATGTTCTAAAGGCATTTTCTTCTGACGTTTCGCCTGCATCTATGGCAAGCATCCTCAGAGGTAGTGAGGTCAGTTGGAACTCTAAAAACTCTAAAATTAGAACAGCACAACAACAGAGAGGAAACAAACAAAGACATCTAATCGCCTTTCAACAAAAGATTGCTCCAGGCACTGCCGGGCAATCAAATGCCAATCAAGGTGATCAGCTGAAACATTAACACCTAGCTCCAACAGACAAGAGTCCTTTATCCCACCCTGGTCAGTCCACAGATATAAAAACCTTTTTCCTGGTTCCAACAGACCTAGAGTGTAGTAGAGGCTCCTTCTATGGAGGCTTTTAAACAGAGGCTGTATGGCCATCTGTCAGGGGTGATTTGAATGCAATTTTCCTGCTTCTTGGCAGAAGGGGTTGGACTGGATGGCCCTCAAGGTCTCTTCCAACTTTATGATTCTATGATTCTATGGCCATACAGCCCAGAAAACTCTCAGCAACCCAGTGATTCCAGCCATGAAAGCCTTCCCTTCGACAATAGACTTATGTTTGTACTTTTCCTTAATGAAAATATGCCATTTTTAACCTTTCCGTGTGTAGACCACAACAAAGTTTTTGCAGTTTAATCAACTTTTCCCATGTTTTTATGAGGGAACCAATTAGGAAATGGCATTTACAACCCAAACAAAATTGGTGCTATAATTATGGTAACCACAAACCCATTGGATACGGCTGCTACTTCAAGATGGGAGTTCCTCGTTGGTGATAGTGACGTAACATGTGTGTTTGTGTCCTTTCCCGGCCAGGTCCCTGGAGGGCTCCCCACGGAGCAGCGAGGTCCAGTCCCCCTTGTACCTGCATTCCTCCAAGTGCAGCTCCTGCGGCTCCCAGTCCCCCCAGCATCCCGAGATGTGCCTTCACACCCCCAGCTCCAACTTCGGAGAAGAGATGGGCGAGACCCAGTCCGAATACTCTGATTCCAGTTGCGGTAAGTCCCGGAATCGCTGTTGTGACGTTGCATTTCCTGCTAAGGCAAAAATTCGTTGTGCTGGCTTCCTTCTGTATACAAATAGGGTTGCAGAACAGCTTCATTCTGCAAGATGTCTAGAAGCATACCTGAGCCCAGGTGATAGTTCTTTCTAACGCCACATGGGCAGACCTTTGCAATTAGAGGTCCCAATTTTGTTGTGCAGTAACATACAAAGCTATTCTACATATTCTATTCCTTATGGTGTCATGGGAAGAGGCAGGTAAGAATTGAGAAGAGAATTGATGCAGTGTGACATTGCGATAACAGCTGTGACTCGGTGTTACAGAATGGTGGAAACTGAATAGCGAGTAAGAAAGGTGCCCATTTGAATAGACAGATGGATAGATGGATAGATGGATAGATGGATAGATAGATAGATAGATAGATAGATAGATAGATAGATAGATAGAGATAGGTAGGTAGGTAGGTAGGTAGGTAGGTATAGGTTTAGTTCCTGGACTGTCAAGTTCACAACCACCTTATGGAGTACCAAACCATTTTACCATCTTGTTGGATCACACGGTGCTATACAAAATTCTTTTGCGAGGGATATTTGTGTTTCTGTTATATTTCTAGGTCTGGGTTTAGGTTTCGAAGCTCCCCTGGACAAGCTACTTCAATAAAAAATCAATAATAATAATAATAATAATAATAATAGTAATCAAACTGCAAAGACTCTGGTACAAGCCAGTCAAGGGGGTCCCAGTGGTGATCGGCACACTGGGTGCAGTGCCTAAAAACCTTGGCATGCACTTAAACACAATCACGCTGACAAGATTACCATCTGCCAGTTGCAAAAAGCCATCTTACTGGGAACTGCACGCATTATGCGCCGATACATCACACTGTCCTAGACACTTGGGAAGTGTCTGGCATGTGATCCAATGCAACAGCCAGCAGAGTGATCTTGTCTGCTGTGGAGTCATCTTGTTGTTTTTCAAATAATAATAATAATAATAATAATAATAATAATAATAATAATAATACAATCATAGAATAATAGAGTTGGAAGACACCACATGGGCCATCGAGTCCTGCCATGTAGGAAAGCATAATCAAAGTAGCCCTGACAGATGGCCATCCAATAATATCACTTCTGAAGCTGTCATATCTCCTTAAATTGGCACTTCAAAAGCCATAACTTAGAACAGACCTCACAACCTCTGAGGATGCCTGCCATAGATGCAGGCAAAACATCAGGAGAGAATGGTTCTAGAACATGGCCATACATCCTGAAAAACCTACAACAACCCAGAGCTTAGAAAGTTACTTTTTTGAAGTAGTTTGAAAAGTAACTCATTTGGTTACTCTGCAACTTTTTATTACTTTTCATTATTTGGGGGCAGCTTTAGAATGGGTAGCATAAGACCTCAAAAACCTCCAATGATGCCTTCAAGGCTTGGATTCTTTTAGTAAACGCCCAAATGAGATCTGTTAGACCAGTTCTTGAACTGTAAGACAAGAATTTTGTAAACCTAATGGATGCAATGGGTCAGCTCTCATTGGGATTCGAGCCTAGAGGAAGGTATGGGTAGTAACTTGGAAGCGTTACTCTTTGCACCAAGAAAGTACATTTAGCACAAGACTTTCAAAGTCTAATGGCACCCTTGCAATTGCAGTCACAAAGAAACTGATTATTTGTAACTCGGGCATGGGCAAACTTGGACCCTCCAGGTGTTTTGAACTTCAACTCCCACAATTCCCAACAGCCTACTGGCTGTTAGGAATTGTGGGAGTTGAAGTCCAAAACACCTGGAGGGTCCAGGTTCGCCCATGCCTGTTCTAGACACCAGACTTCTCCAATTTCTACTGGCTGTTGGGAATTATGGGAGTTGAAGTCCAAAACACCCAGAGGGCCCAAATTTGCCCATGTCTGTTTGTAACTTTTCAACCTTGTCTCCTGTGCCATGCTAGTAATATAATATAATACAATATAATATAATATAATATAATGTATTGTCAAAGGCTTTCATGGCCGGAATCACTGGGTTGTTGTAGGTTTTTCCGGGCTATATGGCCATGTTCTGGAGGCATTTTCTCCTGACGTTTCGCCTGCATCTATGGCAAGCATCCTCAGAGGTAGTGAGGTCTGTTGGAAGTAGGAAAGATGGGTTTATATATCTGTGGAATGACCAGGGTGAGACAAACTGTCCCACCTTCTATGCCATGCTAGTAATATAATATAATACAATATAATATAATATATTGTGTATACATATAATATTTATAATATTATAATGTCATGCAATATAATAATAATAATAATAATAATAATATGATTATTTATATTACACGTAATAGTCCTAATAATATTACAATATAATGGTATAGTACAATATAGTAATATTTAATACTGATATTTTAGTAGTATGCTAATACAATATATTGTATTGTCGAAGGCTTTCATGGCTGGAATCACTAGGTTCTTGTGGGTTTTTTCGGGCTATATGGCCATGTTCTAGAGGCATTTTTCCTGACGTTTTGCCTGCATCTATGGCAAGCATCCTCAAATTACAACAGCAAAACAGCAGAGAGGAAACAACCAAGCACATCTTAACACCTCTCAACAGAACATTTTCCCAGGCTCAGGCAGGCCTTCAAATGCTAATGAAGGTGGTCAACTGAAACATTCACACCTAACTTCAGCAGAGAGCTCTTTGCCCCACCCCAGTCATTCCACAGATATATAAACCCATTTTCCTATTTCCAACAGACCTCACTACCTCTGAGGATGCTTGCCATAGATGCAGGCGAAACGTCAGGAAAAATGCCTCTAGAACATGGTCCTATAGCCCGAAAAAACCCACAAGAACCTAATAATATATTGTATTTATAGGTATATATATCTTGTAAGCCACTTTGTGTCCACTTCAGGGTGAGAAGGGCAACATATAAGTGTCGTAAATAAATAAATATGAAATAAATAACGACTCTCAGATCCAGACATCCCTGGAGAAAATGCTTCCCTTGGCATTTGTAGGTCTTCCAGTGTGATTCTGTGGTCATCTTCTGGCAGGTGTTGACCTTAGAGTCGCACTGGAGCACATAATAATAATAATAATAATAATAATAATAGCAACAACAACAACAACAACTTTGTTTATGCCCCGCCACTATCTCCCCAAGGGCACCTTACATGAGGCCAAGCCCGACAATACATACATCAGTAAATCAACACAGCAATAAAATAAAATAAAAATACAATACAAAACCACTATAAATAACATATAAATAACACTTAGAGATGTCGAAGGCTTTCATGGCCAGAATCACTGGGTTGTTGTAGGTTTTTCCGGGCTATATGGCCATGTTCTGGAGGCAATTTTTCTCCTGACGTTTCGCCTGCATCTATGGCAAGCATCCTCAGAGGTAGAACTTCACTACCTCTGAGGATGCTTGCCATAGATGCAGGCGAAACGTCAGGAGAAAAATTGCCTCCAGAACATGGCCATATAGCCCGGAAAAACCTACAACAACCCAACACTTAGAGATGTCTAGAGAGACTTTTTTCAGACTGGTAGATTCTGGGAGTTGTATCCTCAAACGTTGCATTGCTCTGCGATCTCTTAATCCAAGAGCAACAATGGTGCGAAGAAGCCCCGCGAAAGCCTGTGTGCGTGTTTTGCCTGTGTGTGCGGTGCGGTGCAATGCAGTGCAGCCCCTTTTGCTTGCTTGCTTGCTCGTCTCACCCCGATCCAACTCTTCCTCTCTCGGTCTCCGACAGAAAACGGAACCTTTTTCTGCAACGAATGCCACTGCCGCTTTTCGGAAGAGGCTGCCCTCAAGCGACACTCCCTCCAAATGCACAGCGACAAGCCCTACAAATGTGACTGTTGCCAAGCCTCCTTCCGCTACAAGGGGAACCTAGCCAGCCATAAAACTGTCCACACAGGTACAGCCTCGCCAATTGCAGTGATCTCTGTCCAGGCAGGGGTGGTTGACCTGGGTTCGAATCCCGGTTCAGTGAGTGACTGGCTGGGTGACCCTGGGGGGCATTGCGCGGTTCTGTGTGTCATAAAGACTTCTTAAACTTTCAGAAAGCATTAGGAAGGTTCTTTTATTTCATTTACAATGAGACAGAATATATCGCAGACCAATACAGAGAGAGAAAAGGAGGACACACAGACTTTATAGCTTCATTGGGTACCCAAACAATTGCATTTTTGCACAGCATTCACAGACATACATTACCATCTCTTCTTCCTTCTGGAAAAGAGAACCCAAAGTAGACCAGATTGTGTCCCCAGCAAATCTGCCATTCTACAAATATACCATCTCTCTCCATCTCTTGGAGAAGATGGTGGGTGGACCAGACTCCGCAGTCTGCCACAATTTTGGAATAGTAAAGTGTCTCTTATATAGCAATATTTCAGTTGATGTGGTTTTGAAAGCTGTAAATGAAGGACAGGTTATTGTCGAAGGCTTTCATGGCCGAAATCACTGGGTTGTTGTAGGTCTTTTCAGGCTATATGGCCATGTTCTAGAGGCATTCTCTCCTCTAGAGGAGGGAATGCCTCTAGAACGTGGCCATATAGCCCGAAAAGACCTACAACAACCCAAAGGACAGGTTGTTTGGCCAGCTAAAACATGCCGACTCCATCAGTTCCTGGACAGATGTTGACTTTCCTTCCTTAAGTTTTATTTTATTTATTTGTCATATCAGGACAACCAGTCAAATTATATTACATTTCTAATAGAACAAAGCAAACAAACAGACAAAATACAAAATTTGTGAGTTTGGTAGTTGATTAAATGTCCTTTGACCAGTATCTGGCCACTTGGAGTGCCTCTGGTGTTGCCGCAAGGAGGTCCTCCATGGTGCATGTGGCAGGGCTCAGGTTGCATTGCAGTAGGTGGTCAGTGGTTTGCTCTTCTCTGCACTCACATGTTGTGGACACCACTTTGTAGCCCCATTTCCTAAGATTGGCTCTGCATCTCGTGGTGCCAGAGCGCAGTCTGTTCAGCGCCTTCCAAGTTGCCCAGTCTTCTGTGTGCCCAGGGGGGAGTCTCTCATTGGGTTGAGGTTCTGGGTCTGAGCCTGCCACTTTTGGACTCTCGCTTGCTGAGGTGTTCCAGCGAGTGCCTCTGTAGATCTTAGAAAACTATTTCTTGATTTAAGTCGTTGACATGCTGGCTGATACCCAAACAAGGGATGAGCTGGAGATGTCACTGTTTGGCCAGCTAAAACATGCCAACTCCATCAGTTCCTGGACAGATGTTGACTTTCCTTCCTTAAGTGATAATTAGTTTTCCTTCTTAAGGAGGCTGGTTTGACTTCCTTAACGGATGTTGGTTTTCCTTCTTAACGTAAGGAGCCACTGTGTTGACTTCCTTAAGTTAAAAGAGTCATTGGCTCTGGTAATGTAAACATGTTGTTTTCCACTTGTCTCTGGTCATATCAGCAATTCTCATCAGCAACTTTTAATTACAGTTCAGCAGTTTCACCTCCTCTTTGTAGTTTTCCAGGCCTCATTTATTACGATGGCATCTTTAGGCTATATAGACCCCAACCATACTCCTTTCATCCAATTTCATTCAATGTATTGTCGAAGGCTTTCATGGCCGGAATCACTGGGTTGTTGTAGGTTTTTTTGAGCTATATGGCCATGGTCTGGAGGCATTCTCTCCTGACATTTTGCCTGCATCTATGGCAAGCATCCTCAGAAGTAGTGAGGTGAGGATGCTACCTCTGAGGATGCTTGCCATAGATGCAGGCGAAACATCAGAAGAGAATGCCTCCAGACCATGGCTATATAGCCCAAAAAAACCTACAACAACCCAATTTCATTCAATTTCACTCAAACTATATCACATATTCACCATATCTCTTCTCTGGCTATATTTATTTCCAAACTTGGGGGTGCAAAATAATAACGATATTTGGGCTTAAAATTTCCCATGATCCTATAGCCAGCATGGCCAACGGGCTTCTGGGAGTTGGAGTCCAAAAAAGTAATTCAGAAATGTATCTACATTATAGAACGAATTCAGTTTGATGCTACTTTAACTGCTACGAATCAATGCTTTCAACCCCTGGGAGATGTGGCTTTACAAGTTCTTTGTGGTTCCTCATCCAATTACAACTCCCAGGATTCCAGAGCATTGATCCCTGGTAATTCAAGTGGCATAAACCCACATTCATTCTACAATGTAGATGCACCTTGGTTTCCTTGCAAGCTCTGCACTGAAAGAGGGGGCGGGCTCATAGTTGTTCTGTGAATCTCTTCTCCATTTGTAAAGCACTCTGTGATCTGTTTCAAAGGAACGACCCAAAACATTCAGTGATATTTGGTTAAGAAAGTGAACCAGGTAGTCAACAGTTCAATATGGTGGCCTCAGTTATCCATTCCTAATGAGGAGATTATGCTCAGAGGGACCTCAATGGGCCACCCAGTCCCATCCCCTTCTGAACGCAGGGAGACACAATCCAAGCACTCAGGACAGATGTCCATGCAGTCTCTCCTTTAAAACCTTTGGGGAAGGAGATTCCACCAGACTCCCTCAGGCAGCAGCATATCACTTTGTCAAACTGCTCTTAGAGAGGAAGTTCTTCCTAATGTTTGAGCCGAATCTCTTTTTCCTGAAGTTGGAATCTATTGCTCCCTTGTGTCCTAGTTTCTGAAGCAGCAGAAAACAACATTGCAGCACAATCTTCAATATGATATCTTTCCAAATGTTTAAGCAGCTATCTCAGTCTTCTCCAGGTTCAACATCCCCAGCTCTGTAAACAGTTCCTTATAGGGAGCCAAAGTTTCCAGACCTTTGGCCATTTTGGTGGCCCTTCTCTGGACTCCTTCCACCTTCTCCACCTCCTTTTTGAATTGTGTCCAGAACAGGACAATGACCCTCTGTTCCTGTAAGGGAGAGTGGGGACTACCTCTGAGGATGCTTGCCATAGATGCAGGCGAAATGTCAGGAGAGAATGCCTCTAGACCATGGCCATATAGCCCGAAAAAACCTACAACAACCCGATGCATTTATTATTTGGTCCATGCAATCTGGTCTAGTGCCTAGATTACCCCACTGCCATTTACTTGTCGATGCTGTGTGTCCTTGCTTCTTCCATTGGGGCACTAAACGGGCTCTGTTTTATTGGGACAGGTGAGAAACCGTATCGCTGCAGCATTTGCGGAGCGCAGTTCAACCGGCCGGCCAACCTGAAGACTCACACGCGGATCCACTCTGGCGAGAAGCCCTACAAGTGCGAAACCTGCGGGGCAAGATTCGTCCAGGTGAATATCCATAGAAGCATAGAATCCTAGAGTTGGAAGGGACTCCAAAAGGCCATCCAGTCCAGCCCCATTCCGCCAGGCAGGAAGACACAATTCAATCACTCCTGACAGATGGTCACCAAGCCTCTATGGAAGCTCCTTTACTAGCTCGGTCAAATATTTGACCCCTTGCATATAGTCTATGGTTCCCAGATTCAAAGCATTGGAGCAACTTTGCACGCAAATTCACCAAACCTATTTACTAGGGATGTGCAATTTTTTGTTAGTTATCGTAAGTCGTATCAAATTCGTTAAATTCGTATTTACGATGGGATATATGACACGTGGGTATGGCCCACTCCAAAAACTTAAGAATTGAAAATTACCCAATACTTCAGTGTTTCTCAACCTTCCTAATGCCGTGACCCCTTAATACAGTTCCTCGTGTTGTGGTGACCCCCAACCATACATTATTTTCATTGCTACTTCATAATTTTGCTACTGTTATAAATCGAAATGTAAATATCTGATATACAGGATATATTTTCATTCACTGGAGTAAATTTGGCACAAATACCCAATATACCCAGATTTGAATACTGGTGGGGTTAGGAGAGGGATTATTTTTGCCATTTGGGAGTTGTAGTTGCTGGGATTTATAGTTCACCTACAATCAAAGCACATTCCGAACTCCATCAGCAATGGAATTGAACCAAACTTGGCACACAAAATTCCCATAAACACCAGAAAATACTGGAAAGGTTGGTCGGGCATTGACCTTGAATTTGGGGGTTGTAGTTCACCTACATCCAGAAAGCACTGTGGTCTCAAATAATGATAGATCTGGACCAAACTTGGCACAAATACTCAATATGCCCAAATGTGAACACTGGTGGGAGTTTGGGGAATATAGACCTTGACATTTGGAAGTTGTAATGGCTGAGATTTATAGTTCAGCTACAATCAAGGACATTCTGAACCCCTCCAACAATGGAATTGGACCAGACTCCCCCCCCCCCCCCCAAATTCCCATGACCAACAGAAAATACTGGTGGTCTTTGGTGACCCCTCTGACACCCCGTCGTAACCCCCCCAGGGGTCCCGACCCCCAGGTTGAGAAACGCTGCAATACTTTTTGATGTGAATTTTGTAAACTTCGGAAGGCTCCCAAAGTCAGTTTCATGTCCAGCACAAGCAAGCAAAGCAAAGCCAAAAAGGCTGCGTTTCCGCTTTAAATTAATGTCCTCTCGCCATTACGAGAGGAAAGCAGCAGGGAGAAAGCAGAGTTCACTGAGAAAGGCACTGAGAGAGCACAGAATTCTGGGAAATGTAGTTTGGGAAGGCGAGGAGCCCTATACTAGAGAATATACAAGGCCCTGAACTACATTTCCCATAATTCTGTTAAGCATCAGGAAACCCCAGTCAGGAGAGGGGAGAGATGTGCCCCTCTTAGCACCTACCTTCCAGAGTTCCAGTAAATAGTTGTATTTACAAAGAGGAGGAATGATTGACACTTCTAGTAAATCAGTCTCTGGGCTGGTCTGAGCTAGGCTGGGCTGGGAAGAAATCCTTCAATTGAAGAACTGTTGGGTAATATGAGAGACATTCAATGAGATAGCTATTTTTTTTTTTTGAAAAAATTCCTAGATGTCTGAATATTTCTGAAAGTTGGGAGCAATGACCCCCTGTTATCTTGTGTCATCGTATAAAAAATTCAAGGAGATTGCGCTTGTAGTTTTTGTTTTTAAAATGTTTATAAAAACTTTGATAATTTCCTATCAATCCATGGATAAGTGAAATGTTCTGAAACTTGATGGGCTAACAGTGGTAAAGGTGTTGTATAATTGCAGCAAGTTTCACCCCAATAGCTTTCAAAATGGGGGAGAAAGGAGCCCCAGAAGCTTCTCCAGGTGCACAATTACTATAACGAAAAAGTAACGAAATTTCGTTACTCTCGTTAGAGTGATGAAATGTTCACCAATAATACTTTAGAATCATGGAATCATAGAATCCAAGATTTGGAAGAACCCTCATGGGCCATCCAGTCCAACCCCATTCTGCCAAGAAGCAGGAAAATTGCATTCAAAGCACCCCCAACAGATGGCCATCCAGCCTCTGTTTAAAAGCCTCCAAAGAAGGAACCTCCCTTCACCACATTCTGGGGCAGAGAGTTCCACTGCTGAACAGCTCTCACAGTAAGGAAGTTCTTCCTAATGTTTAGATGGAATCGCCTTTAGAAACACTTTAGTAATGAAATGCCAGCACCCCTTGATTTTGTAATGACTTTTGAAACATTTTTATTGATTGCACATGCCTAGCAAATAGTCCTCCAAACAATTCACCCTTGTGGAGGGCTATCTTGCAAGGAAGGTGCAGAATTTATTAATGTCTTTGAATGAAGATTTGCGTCCCTCGTGAGAATCGCTCCTCCTAGCAAATAGTCCTTCAAACAATTCACCCTTGTGGAGGGCTATCTTGAGAGGAAGGTGCAGAATTGGTTAATGTCTTTAAATGAAGATTTGCATCCCTTGTGAGACTACTGACTGCTGTCTCCCTTTGCCAGGTTGCGCACCTCCGGGCCCATGTGCTGATCCACACTGGCGAGAAACCCTACCCATGTGAAATCTGTGGCACGCGCTTCAGGCACCTGCAGACCCTCAAGAGTCACCTTCGCATCCACACCGGAGAGAAGCCCTACCATGTAAGTGCCATCGTTCTGGGCTTGGAGGAACTTTTAGGGACCTTGCTTCCTTGATGACATGACATGGGACCTCTGCCTCCAAAAGTGAGCACACCATTGTGCTTTAGAAATGTCTTGGGATCCAATACCTTTAGAGTATTTAGGCCGCAGAATCCATTCTTACACAACGAGTTAACACAGAGCAAAATCCCATTATTTAATGCTTTTAATAGGCTTGTTTGATCCAAAAAAAAAAAAAGTTCAAAACTCATTTCGGATGTAGGGGCACTGGTGGTTCGATTCTAAAGTCAATTCCGATTTTCACAGAAAAAAAGTTCAAAACTTTTCGAAACTTCTGAGACTTCCGAATCCTTTTGTTAATGGTTTGAAAGTGTTATTTCCTGTTTCATTGGGTGGTCTTTACTTTGAAAGTAGTTGTTTTACTCCAGAAGTGGCGGAGGAAATTCCTTCCTTCTCCGGTTTAAAATTGGCTTCTCTGGCTTGAGCCAGAAGTGGGGAAAGCAAAGGGAGGAAATTCAGCCTTCCCTGGTTTAAAACTGGCTTCTCTGGCTTCAGCCGAGGCCAGGGACCAGGATCATTTCCGACTCACTTCCCGAGTCAGAAGAAAAATAGCGAGACTAGCATCGGAAGGGCAAAGGGACTTCTGGTTTCCTAAAAAAGTTCAAAATCACTTCAAAAAGGTAATTTTTCCAAATTTATTATTATTTATTAATTATTTATTTACCTTACTTATATACCGCTGTTCTCAGCCCGAAGGCGACTCACAGCGGTTCACAACAAGAGACAGCAGAATTCAATGTTACAGTATAAAAGCAGTTATCAACTTAATACAATTGCACAATTAATAAACAATAAACAATTAACAATTGCTACAATAGCCATTCACTATCGTCTCATCATCAAAAACATGTTCCAGATTCGTCATCCAGTGATCCATTCCAGTGTTCATTAACCAATCATTGCACTCATTATTGGAACGCCTGCTCAAACAGCCAGGTCTTCACTTTTTTGCGGAATACCATTAGAGATGGTGCTAGTCTAATGTCGGTAGGAAGGGTGTTCCACAGCCGAGGAGCCACCACCGAGAAGGCCCTATCTCTCGTCCCCGCCAGCCGAGCTTGAGAAGCAGGCGGGATCGAGAGCAGGGTCTCCCCGGAAGATCTCAAACTCCTGGTGGGTTCATAGGCAGAGATGCGGTCAGATAGGTAGCTTGGGCTGGAACCGTTTAGGGCTTTAAAGGCCAACGCCAGCACTTTGAATTCAGCCCGGTAGCAGATCGGTAGCCAGTGGAGTTGGTGCAACAGGGGGGTTGTATGCTCCCTGCGCTCCGCTCCTGTTAACATCATGGCTGCCAAGCGTTGGACTAGTTGGAGCTTCCGAGCCGTCTTCAAAGGCAACCCCACGTAGAGAGCGTTGCAGTAGTCTAAACGGGATGTAACCAGAGCGTGGACTTAGTTAGGAATTTATTCCTAATTAAGAAGGTTCCGACTGGATTTAACCATGCCTAGTGTTTAATGTTTCCTAATAACACTGTGCAACACAATTTTTGTTCCTGGGTTAAATATCATTTCCTAATTGGTTCTATCATTTAAAAAAACATGGCAAAGGTGTATTAAAATGACACGCAAGTTTGTGAAGCGTTCCATATTTTTCCCAGCCATAGCAACACCTGATGAATGACTCCTTGTGTCTTTATTGTGTAAGATCAACACTAGATTGAAGTCCAAAGAAAATAGCGCACAAATAAGAAACAATTATAACTTGTAAACCGCTCTGAGTCCCCTTCAGGGTGAGAAGGGAGGCATATAAATGTAGTAAATAAATAAATAAAATGCAAAAAAAAAATGTCTTTGCGGGACAACCTGCAGCACATTTTGCTATAGTTTTTCATTGAATATCTTATAGAGACTCAACCAGTTCAACCTAGTTTGTGGCAACCATAAAATGAAGTTTCTGGAGTAGAACAACTAGTTTCAAAGAAGGCACCGCACAATTAAACAGAAAATAATGCTTTCACCCCAGGAACTTTTTTTTTTCAAATTTTGCTACATATGGTAATCAAATCCATGCCTAAAATGGCATTTTGGGGGCTTATCATTTTCCTAAAAGGCATTGCTTCACATTTGTACTACTGTTACAGATTTCTAGATTGTTAGGGATTCAAAATCGTGCTTGTGGTTTTTGTTTTAAATATGTTTTTAAAATCTTTGAAAATTCCCTATAAATTTGTGGATAAGTGAGTTTTTTTTTAAACTTGATGGGCTAACAGTGGTAAAGGTGTTGTATAATTGTAACAAGTTTCACCCCAATAACTGTCAACGTGAGAGAGACAGGAGCCCCTGAAGTTTTCCCAGGTGCACAATTTTTATAACGAAAAAGTAATGAAATTTCATTACTCTCGTTATAGTGACGAAACTGCTCCTTATTTGTTGCACTCCAGGACAGGAAAAGCCCTCTGACTGTAAACACCACACCTTTGATTGGAAAACAATCCTTTTATTGAAGATAATTAGAAAGCAGCAAGTAAAAAGCACTTTAAAGAAATAGGTAAATCCAATTAAGTAAGAAGATAACCAGGAGCAAAAATATTCCAGGGTAAAGTTCAGCAAAGTCCATAAAAACAAAGTCCACACTTCTCTATATAATTCAGAAAACCAGGAGACATTAATCCAAGGCATGAGTAGGCATTCATACAATCCAAGAATCCAAAGCATGAAACAAGAAATACTTAGACAAGAATCTTCCCAGCAAGACTTCCGTGAAACAAGGACAAAAACTATATGTGATTCCAAACGATGCTTCATCTGACTATATTTCCTATACTTGGAACTTTTATCCCCTTGTTAAGCTATCCCAAGCACTCAGAAATTGGTTTCGCTTTAATTGAGATTCCCTTATCTTTTTTCTGTCGGATTCTGGCAGACCGCCGAAGCCACTTTTCGGTCTGTCTGTTTTGACTAATCTCCTGTCGCCTATCTATTTGCTCATTAAGTTTTGCAGCTGGGCCAGGTGCCCAGTTATTTTCAAGCCCCAAATCCTGGGAACTCTCTGGTAGCAATTCAGGGAGTACACTACCATCTCCACACCCTTCAGGGACATTCTCATGGGAAACTACACTTTGCACTGGGGTCTCCTGATCCTTTGCCTCGGTATCATTGACCAAACCATTGCCATCTTGAAATTCATTGGCATCACTTCTCACATCCAAAGCACCCTGATCCTGAAACACAATCACAGGCTGAACTCCAACATTATTAAGTAATTCATTCCAAAAAAGATTTTGGGAGTTTGCCTTGATTGACTTTCATCCTTCTCTCTGATAGTCTGCCCAGTTTGGATGACCTATATTATTATTATTATTTTATTATTATTATTATTTATTCACTAGCTGTCCCCTGCCACGCGTTGCTGTGGCCCAGTCTGGTGATCTGGAAAATAAAGTAATGAGAAAGTGTTGGTTTCTAATATATGTAATTCCTTTATGCTTGTGAGTAAACAGTATTTCTTGTTGTTTCTTTGTCAGTGTTGATGTGGAGAGTGTCTGGTTTGCCTACTCTGGAACATGCAACATATCATAGTCCTTCTTTAAGGGTCTCTTTCAAATCTATGATACTATATCTCTCTCTGTGTGTGAAAATCATATCTATCTATCTATATTTATGACTGGATGGCTCTTTGTCAGGAGGGCTCTGATTACATTTTCTTGCCCTGGTGAAGAGAGTTGGACTGGATGGCCTTAAGTATTTTCTGTTGGTCATGGGGGTTCTGTGTGGGAAGTTGGCCCCATTTCTGTCATTTGTGGGTTTCAGAATGCTCTTTAATTGTAGTGAACTATAAATCCCAGTAACTACAAATCCCAAATGTCAAGGTCTATTTCCTCCAAACTCCATCTGTGTTCATATTTAGGCATATGGAATTATTGTGTCAAGTTTGGTCCAGATCCATCATTGTTTGAGTCCACAGTGCTCTCTGGATGTAGGTGAACTACAACTCCCAAACTCAAGGTCAATGCCCACCAAACTCTTCCTGTATGGAAGTCCTGTATGCCATGTTTGGTTCAATTCCATCATTGGTGGAGTTGCTCTTTGGTGGAGTTGGTGGAAATGCTCTTTGATTGTAGGTGAACTATAAATCCCAGCAACTACAACTCCCAAATGTCAAGGTCTATTTTCCTTAAACTCCATCTGTGTTCATATTTGGGCGTATTGAGTGCTTGTGCCAAGTTTGGTCCAGATCCATCATTGTTTGAGTCCACAGTGCTCTCTGGATGTAGGTGAACTACAACTCCCAAACTCAAGGTCAATGCCCACTAAACCCTTCCAGTATTTTCTGTTGGTTATGGGAGCCCCGTGTGCTAAGTTTGGCCCAATTCCATCCTTGATGGAGTTCAGAGTGCTCTTTGATTGTAGGTAAACTATAAATCCCAGCAGCAACAACTCCCAAATGACAAAATCATAATTTTTTGAGTGATGGTCACTCCTTGTGTTGTGAGACGTTTTGTTGCCAAATTTGGTGTGATTTTGTTCATTGGTTCTTTTGTTTTTAAGGTACTCATTACGCACAGAGCATTTATATATATATAGATTCATTCCAAAAAATATTTTGGGAGTTTGCCTTGGTTGACTTTCATCCTTCTCTCTGACTTTTCTCTTGACTTTCATCCTTTTCTCAGTTTGGATGACCTATATTATTATTTTATTATTATTATTTATTCATTTTTATCCTGCTTTTCTCCCACGGGTGGGATTCAAAGTGGCGAATAGTAGGGCTGAGCGGTTTCGTTCGTTAATTTCGTAATTCGTTATTAATTCGTTATATTTTTTTTTATAACGAAGCGATGTTGAACCATTCAGGAGCAACTAAAAAACGAAACGAATTTTTTCAATTCGTTTCGTAATTATTTTGTATTTGTCTCGAAATCGATTCGTAATTGATTCGAAATCGTTTCGTTATTATTTCCGCATGTCTGGTGCAAGTTTTATAGTCGTTGTTTGTTTTCTCAGTGAAAAAAAAATAAATTATCACACCAACAGCCAACAACAGAGGGAGAGGGAAGCTTCCTGTCCCATTTGGAGGTTTTTTTAGCGTATTGCGCGATCGCGCCCGCCATTAATGAATCGATTCGTAATTGTTTTGAAATCGATTCGTAATTGATTTGTAATTTACGAAATTTCGTAAATATCGAAAAAAATTTAAGGAAAATTTCGGAATTAATTTAAAAATCGAAACGCAAAAACCCCCTAAAAACGAAATGAGTTTAGAAACAAATTTTTCCGTGGTTGCCCAGCCCTAGCGAATAGTACTGGGTCCAGGACCAAACCTTCTTCATGGCACCCAAACAGTCACTATTTGTATATATACCCAAGTATTGCCGGGGTCGGGCACTTGATTAATTCCTCCTCTATTTGGTTCTTCTTTCAGTGTGAAAAGTGCAACCTTCATTTCCGCCACAAAAGCCAGCTGCGGCTCCACTTGCGCCAGAAGCACGGGGCCATCACCAACACCAAGGTGCAATACCGCGTCTCGGCGGAGGTCACGCCGGAGCTCCCCAAAGCGTGCTAGAGGCGGGCGAGGGCGAAGGAAGGCGAGGGCGGCGAGCCCGGGAGACGGCGGCGGCAAAGACGAGCGAGTGGCGCGGAAGGGGGAGACGATGCCCAAAGGATACTTGCAACACTTTAGCAACTCCTCCACTGCTTTTAATTCGTTTTGTTGGTCACACAATGGAGTGCCTCGAAGAAGCCCAGAGCGCAGGCAGGCAGGTGGAACAGAGGAAAAGGACTGAATGATGAGAATACACGGGTTTTATGTTTTTATTATTATTATTATTATTATTTTGGTTTATTTCCCAGTTATGTGAATTTTTCAAGGAAAAAAAAAGATCTATAGATATATATATATATGTATATGTGCGTAACAGCTGAGATTCTACCTTGGGTTTGCGTTGCGTCGGACTCCACTTGTGGAGCCGCAGATGAATTGTGATGAATGGCTCGGTTATGCCACTGAACCAAGATGTCAAATGTGCCACTACGTGGGCACGCACCTCCGTGCGCAGTGTGTGTGCCTGTGTGCGCATCCGTGCACATCCATACACGATTTGTGCCTACGTGCAATGTGCTCATCCATGCGCATCTACTTGCAATGGACATTACCGTATTTCTTCGATTGTAAGGCGCACTTTCCCCCCGTATAAAATTGGAGGTGCATCATAGAATCACATGGATGTATTTCACAAGGAAGGAGCAGAGCATCATAGAATCCTAGAGTTGGAAGAGACCTCATGGGCCATCCAGTCCAACCCCTTCTGCCAAGAAGCAGGAATATTGCATTCAAATCACCCCTGACAGATGGCCATCCAGCCTCTGTTTAAAAGCTTCCAAAGAAGGAGCCTCCACCTGCTCCGGGGCAGAGAGTTCCACTGCTGAACGCCATCAGTGCCATGCGCCTTTGCAGAAAGGCCAACTTTGCTTTCAACTAGGTATACATGGTTAACAGGACGAATCCAATCAATTTATGGTTGAAACAAGTATAGTGGACTCTCAGTTAACCAATACCCATGGGGATTAGTAGGTACTTTTTGGTTGCTTGGGAGTTACTATTAAAAATAGGAATAATTCATACCCCATAATTTTCCTTACGCTAAACTCTGTGTTGGCATAATAGTTGTGGGATTAACAGAACTCAAAAACCACTGGATGAATTGCCCGCAAATTTGGACTCAGGACACCTAACAACCCAATGTATGTCCTTCACTCAAAAAATGATTTTGTCATTTGGGAGTTGTAGTTGCTGGGATTTATAGTTCACCTACAATCAAAGAGCATTCTGAACCCCACCAACGATGGAATTGAACCAAACTTGGCACACAGTTCTTCCATGACCAACAGAAAATACTGGAAGGGTTTGGTGGGCAGTGTCCTTTGGTTTTGGAGTTGTAGTTCACCTACATCCAGAGATCACTGTGGACTCAAACAATGATGGATTTGGACCAAACTCTACAGAATACTCAATATGCCCAAATGTGAACACTGGTGGAGTTTGGGGAAAATAGAATCTTGACATTTGGGAGTTGTAGTTGCTGGGATTTATAGTTCACCTACAATCACAGAGCATTCTGAACCCCACCAACGATAGAATTGGGCTAAACCTCCCACACAGAACCCCCATGTGGGCCACAGCAGTGCGTGGCAGGGGATGGCTAGTATAAAATACAATAAAAGGCTGTGAAAAGGGAGATAAATTCATTAAGAGGAGAATTAAAACACGATATAGGATATCTAGACAATATTCAAAGTCATTCATTTTGAGAAGCAAAGCCTTGTTTTGGTTGTGTGCGCCTTACAATCAAGGGAATGCGGTATTTGCCACATGCACGCAAACATACATTCATGCGCCTCCATGTGCAAAGTGCGCCTCCATGCACCCCCCTACACAGTTTGTGCCTCTCTGCAGTGTGCTCCTCCATGCACACCCATTTACAATGTGCACCCGATTGCAAGGTGCGCATGTCCTTGTATCCATGCTCAGTGCGCAATAATGTGCCATGTGCCCATCTATGCACTCGGCCCCATTGCACTACCTATGCACTTCTGCTGTTTTGAACCGTATTCTGCATTGGACAAAAACCTCCCGACGACTTCCGTTGGGGAAGTTCTACCCACAAAAGACAGACACTGATAGGATTCTGGCCAGCGATATCTATCCATATATAATACGTTTCAAATATGCAATAGACTCTCGGTTAACCGGCACTCATGGGGATAGGTAGATGCCAAATAAATGTAGTTTCTGGTCAATTGAGAGTTAGTATTAATATTATGCCCCATACTATAAACAAGGCATGGGCAAACTTTGGACCTCCAGGTGTTTTTGGACTTCAACTCCCATCAGCTGTTAGGAATTGTGGGAGTTGGAGTCCAAAACATCTGAAAGGCCGAAATTCGCCCCATGCCTGCTACAAACTCTGTATTGACCTGCTATTAATATTGAAATACAATCATTAGAAGCAAATTAAGACCAATTTAATTGACTGTATTATGAGAGGTGGCGCAACATGTTAAAACTGCTGATCTAAAGGTTGGCAGTTTGAATCCGGGGAGTAGGGTGAGCTCCCATCTGTCAGCTCCAGCTTCCCACGCAGGGACATGAGAGATGCCTCCCACAGGAGGGTAACACATCTGGGCAACGTCTTTGCAGACAGTCAATTCTCCCACAGGATGGTAACACTGACCTGAAGGTTGGCGGTTTGAATCCAGGGAGCAGGGTGAGCTCCGATCTGTCAGCTCCAGCTTCCCACGCAGGGACATGAGAGATGCCTCCCACAGGAGGGTAACACATCTGGGCAACGTCTTTGCAGACAGTCAATTCTCCCACAGGATGGTAACACTGACCTGAAGGTTGGCGGTTTGAATCCAGGGAGCAGGGTGAGCTCCGATCTGTCAGCTCCAGCTTCCCACGCAGGGACATGAGAGATGCCTCCCACAGGAGGGTAACACATCTGGGCAACGTCTTTGCAGACAGTCAATTCTCCCACAGGATGGTAACACTGACCTGAAGGTTGGCGGTTTGAATCCGGGGAGCGGGGTGAGCTCCCATCTGTCAGCTCCAGCTTCCCACGCAGGGACATGAGAGATGCCTCCCACAGGATGGTAACACATCTGGGCAACGTCCTTGCAGACGGTCAATTCTCTCACACCGGAGGTGACTTGCAGTTTCTCACGTCACTTCTGATATAGAAAACAAAATTGTTTAATGGGGATTGGAAGATGCCAGATAAAAGTAGTTTCTGGTTGCTTGAGAGTTGCTATTGAAAATAGTTTTTAAAAACACTAAACTCTTGTTTTGACTGGATATATATAAAATAATAAAACGTTATTTATATTCTGCTCTATCTCCCCAAAGGGACACAGGGACACAAACATTCAATGCCCGAATACAATAACAATCCATAGAATCCTAGAGTTGGAAGAGATCTCCTGGGCCATCCAGTCCAACCCCATTCTGCCAAGAAGCAGGAATATTGCATTCAAATCACCCCTGACAGATGGCCATCCAGCCTCTGTTTAAAAGCCTCCAAAGAAGGAGCCTCCACCCAAGTTATGCTCAGGCTTTTGGCAAATTTTGACACGCCAAGCTCAAAAGGTTGCCCATCACTGCTCTAGACCATGGCCATATAGCCCGGAAAAAACCTACAACACATTTCTCTGGTTGCTTGAGAGTGCCGGTTAACCGAGAGCCTACTGTATTTGTGAAGGAGAGGGATTGTGAAAGACGTCTCTGTCTCTCTCCGTGTTAGGAAGGGATCGGAAAGGTTTCCGTTCGTTCGTAGAAATCCATATAGCGGAGAGTCGGGAAAAATGCCGACTCTTTTGCGGCCAGAACAAATAAATAAATAAATGAGGAATGTATATCGTTTTACGGGAACAACATTTATTTTATTATTATTTTTTTGAAATGCAAAAAAGTTTGTTTGTAAACAAAAGAGAGCGGGGAGAGAAAAAGATTGTATATGCTATATGGCATGGGCAAAGTTTGGCCTTCTGGGTGTTTTGGACTCCAACTCCCATCATTCCTAACAGCCTCAGGCCCTTTCCTTTTTCCCCTCGGCCGCTTAAGCGGCCGAGGGGAAAAAGGAAAGGGCCTGAGGCTGTTAGGAATGATGGGAGTTGGAGTCCAAAACACCCAGAAGGCCAAACTTTGCCCATGCCCACGACAAGACGAAAAGTAAACAAAGGAGAGGGCTTTAACTTTTTAACCAAAGGTGAAGGAAAATCTATGGCAGAGTTGTACATATATGAACATATATATAAATAAAGTATATATATATATATATAAATATCAACCTTTAAGAAAAAGATATATTAAATATATAAATATATATATATTAAAATGCACTGGAGTCTCCGTCTCGGTCTCTGCGGGCAGACGGCCGGTTCGGAGAGGCTTCCTTTGCGACAGAGCACTTAACGAGATATTTTAAGAGAGAGAGAGAGAGAGACGCGCGCGAAAAAGTATTGCATCTGTATTAGTGAGGAAAATATTTTGTCTAAGAGCATTTGAGTGTGTATTTGTATTTTTTTGCAAGTGAAGGTTTACAATTTACAAAAAAAAATATAGTGTGTATTAAAAAAAAACAACCAACGAAAGCTGCAGAAGGAATTTTAAGAAAAAAAAATAATATAAAGTGTAATAATAATTATAATAATATTTTTTTTCAGGGTCCCCCCACCCACCCACCCCCCTAAGTCTGTATATATTATATGTATGTGTGTGTGTTTGTGTATAATGTTTGTTTGGGGTTCTTCGTTTCTCGTTTTTATTGTTTTTTTTTTTTCTCACGGTGCCTTTCTTTTGCAACTCGGTTTAGAGCCCTGCTTTGAGGTACGATGACGGTTGGTTGGATCTTTTATGGAAAGCTTAAAAAAGGTATTGTCGAAGGCTTTCATGGCCGGAATCAATGGGTTGCTGTAAGTTTTTTGGGCTGTATGGCCAGGTTCCAGAAGCATTCTCTCCTGACGTTTCGCCTGCAGCCCTCAATCAAAGAGTATTCTCACCCCACAACAATAGAATTGACAAAACTTCCCAAATAGAACCCCATAACAAACAAAAAATACTGCGTTTGCTTATGGTCTTTCGCAACCCCTCTTTCGATCCCCCCAGGGGTCCTGACCCCCAGTTGAGAAAGGCTGGTTTAGGGAAATAGAAAGCTGGGCTGACTGTCAGGAGCTCACGCCAACCCAGGGCTTCAAACTGGCAGCCTTTCAGTTGGTAGATCTTGACATTTGGGAGTTGTAGTTGCTGAGATTTATAATTTTCTTATGGTCTTTGGCAACCCATCTGACACCCCCTTTCAACCCCCCCAAGGGGTCCTGATTCCCGGTTGAGAAAGACTGCCTTAGGTAAACAGAAAGCTGGGCTGACAGTTAGGAGCTCACGTCAACCCCTATGACCAACAGAAAATACTGTGTTTTCTTATGGTCTTTCGCAACCCCTCTGACACCCCTGTTTGACCCCCCCAGGGGTCCTGACCCCCGGTTGAGAAAGGCTGGCTTMGGTAAATAGAAAGCTGGGCTGACAGTTAGGAGCTCAYGCCAACCCCCATGACCAACGGAAAATACGGTGTTTTCTTATAGTCTTTGGCAA